TATCGGCCTAACTCCAGGAACTTACGAGCATATTCTGACACCGTCATGTTTCCTTGGACCAACTAAACAAACTCCATCTCCTTCAGATTTCGGATGTGCTCTGGGAGGTACAGCCAAACTTGCATCGGTTCCTGTGAGAAAATACGCTTAGGGCCCTCGGTGGGCTGAAAAAGATATAGAAAACTGAAACTTACCGGCGGTGGGGCTCTCAGGTGCGGTGGCTCCTCCGGCTCACGTCACGGTTGGGTGTTTTGCTCCGGTCAACCTGTAGAGGAGGAAACGGTGATCACAATGGTGAAAAAATCACATCGAACAGGAATCAAAAAGGGCCTCATCAGAGGCAAAAATTGAGACACCCCCGGCGGCACTGCTTAGCTTCGGCGGCGTTTTTTGGCCAATTAGCCGATGCTTGCACTCTGATTTGGCTATAGGTGGGTTTAGAATCAAATTCTGAGCAAATAGTAGAATTTTTACCTTGTTTGGCGGCCAAAAATTGCTCCGGTACGGCGGCGGGTGGTGGCGATCGGCTCCCTGGCGGCTGGGCTGTCTTCTCTGGCGAGGGGCTCTGGCGGCTAGGGTTAGGGTTTGGGTGCGAATGGGGTTATTTATACCTATCCACTTTTGATTTAAGTCATCTATCGCTTTTAATCTGAACTGTCTGATTACGATTAAATAGGAAATAAATCTGGGCCATTCATCGCGATTCAATCTGGACCATCCGTGTAGATTTTAATCTAGACCGTCCTTGCGCGTTGCAATCTGGGTCGTCCGCATGCATTTTTGATCTGGACTGTTTGTGCGCGCGGGAACGGATCTCAGGAGTTCGATCGCATGCACGCGGATCGCCCACGTGACTCCCTCCTGCGTGGCCTCCCGCGTCAGTGTTTCTGCCACCTGGTGCGTCCTGGTTGACTAAGGCTGCTGACCGGGCAGCTGGCGTGTTACAACTTTTCTAAATTGCGTTTTGACCTCTGATTTCTGATTTTTTCTTTCAAAAATACCCCCAAAACCCAAAATTTCACCCATTTTTCCCAAAATTATTTTCAATTAAATCCCTAAATAATTTTTACTCCTTATTATTATTATTATTATTTCTATTAAAATAAATTAAATTCTATTAATACTGAATTATATTTATATAAAATAAATTAAAATAATATAATAATAATAAAAAATAAAAATAAATTTTTTTGGGTGTTACATGTTTTCCCAACTAAACAAAAAGGTTTAATGATAAAATATTTTATCATAAAAAAAGTTAGAACCAAAAGATGTCTTAACACATGGAAGTGTAAATAGTTAGTAAAAATTTCAGGTTATCCTCGACAAGTAATCAATCAAAATAGCAGAGATCGATTAAAGAAAGTAAAGACTCAACCTCGCCTAGATCATCATTTGTTGCACATAATATAGAAAAATGACTAGTAATCGGTCTCTTTTCTTTTTAAAAAATTTATTGTTAGTTCATAAGTTTTAAAAGATAATTCCATGTGAATTTGAGTTAGATATACTTTATTTAAAAGTTGTTTTTATTATATTTTAAATTAATATATATGAATTTACTCAAAAACTATATACATAATTTTGATATTCAAGTTTATTATTGTTAGAATGATACAATTCAACTTATTTTTAAAACAATTTAAAATTATATAAAAAGATTGATGTTTGTCAACGATTGAATAGAAAATTAGGTGAATTATTTACTAACTATTGAATAAAATAAATAGTATGATTATGTTGATTCAAATTAAAATCGAGTTTGAACTTACCAAATTAAATAAAAAAGTAAATATATTTTTTTATATTGCGAAGAAACATGGAGTTGGCATGTGCCACAATGAAAAAGAAGACATAAATCTGTAGAATTTTGATATTTTTCCCTAATTATTAGATTACCCACCTTCCAAAATTTTAATATTAATATTAGATTTCTATTAACGTAAGACTTTATTTTTAATTTTTTGTTTAATTTATCTAATTCAATATTCATTTTTTTTTAAAAAAAATTGATTTAAGCTTTCTCAATCTATTTTATTTCTTTAAATTAAAATTAATTATTTTTAGAATCTATTTTCTCCCTTTGTATTTAAATCATATTTCATCAAATTTATGATTATATATTTAAATTTAAAAATTACATAACTAATTTAATTTTAATCCAGCAAGCAAACTTTTTCTATCCGATTTTTGTTTTAACGATATAAAATAATATAGACTGCTCTTCTCTTTGACTTTCCAGAGAAACCAGAGTTAGTGTTCGGGAGATCCAATCCCAACAATCATGAAGCTCTCCTTCTCTCTTCCCTCGAAACCCTCCTCCAAATCTAAACTCACCACCACCACAACCGATCGCAGGGAAGAGTCTTCCAAAGAGTTCTTAACTGAATTCACCACTGCCACAGCTACAGGCCCCGCTCAAAATGGCGACCACCGCGAAACCCTAGGGCCACCAAGGCCCAAATACGTTATCCCTCCCAAGGAAAACGAATGGCGGCCTCACAAGAAGATGAAGAATCTCGAGCTTCCCCTTCGCTCAGACGACCCCGACGCCGTTGGTTTCGAGCTGGAGTTACCCTCCGTCGCCGCCGACGACAACAATATTTCGTATGGCCTCAATCTTCGGCAGAGCGTTAAAGATCCTGAGAATGGCAACGATGATGGTCGCAGCGAGCGGCTGCGATCGGCTCCGACGGAACACGTGCTTTTGCAGAGCTTCAAGGAAGATATGAAGAAATTGCCGGATGATCGGGGCTTCGAGGAATTTGAGGAAGTTCCTGTGGAAGGATTTGGTGCCGCGTTGCTTGCTGGATACGGCTGGTACGAAGGAAGAGGAATAGGGAAGAACGCCAAAGAGGACGTCAAGGTGAAGCAGTATGAAAGGAGAGCCGGGAAGGAAGGGTTAGGGTTTGTAGCGGAGAAACTCCCACGGGTCGATTCCAAGAAGAAGGAGAAGGAGAAAGAGAGTCGACATGTGAGAGTAATTTCGGGCGCACACATGGGCTTAAAGGGTAAAATTATTGAGAGATCGAACGCCAATTGGGTTGTTGTGAAGCTATCAAAGTACGACGAGGAAGTCAAAGTACACCATGCTGATGTTGCAGATGTTGGTTCTAAGGAAGAAGAGAAATGGCTGAAGAGTTGGAAGGAAATGAAGGAGTTGGAGAATCTTCGGCAGTCAAAGATTAGGGAAGAGAAAGCACCAAATCGTAAGGAAAAGGAGAAAGGGGTTAGTAAAGGAAGCAGCCAAAATGAGAAGAAAAGTGGCTATTGCGATGCTCAAGGCCGCCATGATCATAGCAAAAGTGACAGAGAACGAATTCCGTGGCTTAGGAGTCATATTCGCGTGAGGATCATTAGTAGGGATTTTAGAGGGGGAAGATTATATTTGAAGAAGGGAGAGGTTGTGGATGTGGTAGGACCGACAAAATGTGACATATCTCTTGACGAGAGCAG